GGGGGCAGGGTTTATTTGGGCACATGCAGAAAACATGGTAGGGCTTATTTTGGGGGAAACAGCGTATTAGATAACTCCACTTAACTAAAGTTTACAGAAAAACTGAATAAGAACTGAAAAAGAACTCAGTCACTAAAAAATTAATCTATCCGCAACTGTGCCTCTCTTAAACAAGAGTTGTGCAATCATGCCATCTGCTATAAAACCATGTAGTAAACAGCAAACAAAATATATTTTTCACAAAAGCAAAAAAAAAAATCTGACACATTATCAGCTTTTCTTGGTAAAATGACTTTAAATCAATTGTACAGTACTAATATAAATTATAGCACAATTGTGCACAATTCAAAAATGGTTCAAAATAAGTACTTCAGACTTGTGCGAACATGGCATTTCTGCTAATCATTTAAAAAGCTTTTTTTATAATCTCAAATCAGTCCAAAAACAATACCTCTGCTTTAAAGATCAAACTCATTAATGCTTCTCTTATAGCAGCTACAACTTTTTAGAGACTTATGCAGAGGCCTGAATAAAATCAAACTGCTTTAAAAAACAGAAAAGACTTGCTATGTTAATGAGGTCATTCAAAGCTACAATTTTTACTACAGAACAACTGAAAAGAAACATCAGATCAGAATTAAGTATTTGCCTGATTTTTTTTTGTTATCTACTGTATTTATTCTAGATACTCTTTCCTTCAAAGGGCAAAATGTAATAGTGCTGGTAACAGAGTTATTTTCTTTTGGGTACAAGCACTGAAATGTTTTGAACTATTTCTAACAATTATCCCTAGCAAAATTCTCCAGTCTGATGTCTTCTAGGACTAGAATAAATAGAACAGAATAGAATAGAATAGATAAAGAAAAGATACATTCGTTAAGAATCAAGAATCATAACGTACAACACTTAATGATAGTTATAGGGTACAATCAACAATCAAATCATACTAGGAAACAGTCAATATAAATCATGCGGATACAAGTAACAAAGTTACAGTCCTACAATCTACTTAATTAGATTTCCCAACCAAGATGATAACTGGCTAAGAAAGGGTAAATCAAATCTAGAAGCCAGCATGGTTCTCTTCACTGTCTGGGAAATTGTGTAATTCAAGATGATGTCCTTCAAGTAATGGAAAGCCAATCATAATAAAGAAAAAAGAGACCCAATTTGGGGGGGGACACACATGATAATAAGGGAAGACGAGCATCACTATTGCTATTAGAGGAGTATATCTCCAAAATAGATTAAAAAGAAATGATAAAATTCTAAATTGAAACAGAATTGAAAAATTAAATAGAAACAATGCTCAAGGAAGATATGGAGGTAACAAAAAACTGGATGAATTCTATGTCTCTGTTCTATAATAGAAAGATATCCAAGTCAGTTTGTATTAACTTTCTCAGAGAGAACTTTGTATCAACTGAGAAAACTGAGTAACAATCAACAAGATCCTGAGAGATGACACAATAACAAATCACCAGGTCATGATCGCATCCATCTGGGAGTTTTTAAAAACTCAAAGGTGAAATTGCTGACATACTGGCAAAAATATGCAAGTTGCCTCTCAATTAGACTTAATGCAAAATTGTATCCAATATGACACACAACTTTTAAAAAGATCTAAGGGAGATTTGGGAAATTATAGAAAGATCAGTCCATTTAAGATCTGTTTCATTCAAATAGACAGAAATGATCAACAAAACACAAAATACATCTATGGAAGAATATACTGTGCAGATATAATTGCTAATATATCCTGTAAGTAAATATACAAAATAATTGATTAAAAATAGAAATTATGAGTATAAATGCATATTTTTTTTCAATGAAGCAAAATAAGGAGTCATTCAAGTACCTTGTCTCTAATGATGCTTTATAACAGGGGTCTTCAAACTTGACAGCTTTAAGACTTGTGGACTTGAACTCCCAGAATTCCTGAGGTAACATGACTGGAGGAGGAATTCTGGGAGTTGAAGTCCACAAGTCTTAAACTTTCCAAGTTTGAAGACACTTGCTTTATAATTTCATATTATTCACAAGTAATCTTGACATAAAAGTAAATTAGCTGTCAAATTTCCAGGTAGGCAGTAAAATCCAAAAGTGATTTTTCCAGAAAGAGCTCTTTCAACTGGCAGAATGGTGAACCAAACAGTAAATGCAATTCAATTAAATTAAGTTAATGTGATGCATTCTAGTGTCTAAAACTCTTAACTCCATATATTCACTTATGTGGTTTGAACTGTCTGTAATTATCCAGGAAAAGGATGCTAAGGTCACAGACGATAATTCAATGAAGTGTTGACTCATTTCATGTTAGCTGTGAAAAAGGCAAAATCCATGCCAGGGATCATTAGCAAATCAACTGAAAATAAAATTGCCAATGCTGCAATATCTTTATACAAATGTATGTTATACCCGCATCTAGTATTCCTACCTGGTTCTGCTTGCTTACCTTGAAAAAAATAAGTAACTGAGTTTTTAAAAACACAAAATGAATAGAGGGTTTTATAACAGCTTCCTTTTGAAATAAACACATAGTATCTATAGCTGTTTAGCTTGGAAAAAGAGCAACCGAGCAGGGGTAGTAATCAAAGTATGTACTGTGAAATTTGGCATGCATAAAGCGGAAGAATTTTCTCCTCTCTTAAAATTCTAGGACCAGGTGTTATCCAGTAAAGCTGAATGAAAGGATATTAAAACAGGCAAGAAAATGTTTTTTTTATACAGCATATAATTAACCTGTGTAAATCAGTACCCCAAGACAGGGTGAGGGCAGTAAGTTTAGATGATTTTAAGAGGAGGTTGGGTAAATTCATACAGGACAAATCAATCAAGCCTTAGATCTTAAAGACCCCATTTCAACTGTATGTTGGGAAAATATGCCTATAAATGTCAGATGCAAGAAAACAAGAGGAGGAAAAAAGTCTCCATTCTCCCGCTTCTAAGCACTCCAAAGGCATCTGAGTGGCCATTGTGGAAAAGAAAATACAGGACTACCCAGTCTTACCCTGACCCACAATCATAGTATAACCATAACCAAACAAACCATGCAGATCCAACTACTTCCAGGAATACAGCTGTCCTGAAAAATAAGGAGACCACTGACAGGCCATGGCAGAACTGAGACAAAACTCTTTAAGTGGGGAATGACTAAGAGCCCACACTGTGACTGTGATGCTCTGGAACCAACTCTAGCTCAAGAATGTCCTCAGGAAATTTCAATGCACCTGGAATGATCTCATCACAGACACACCAGAAACAGTTAGATCCTTAGATACTGAATTGTAACATCTATCCCGCTTCAATTCTATAGCCCCATATTATGCTTATTTTATTATGGTTTTATCATCTATTTTTATCCCCATATTGTATTGTCCACGTATCATACATTTTATTTAAACTTCATTTGTATCAGTGATTGCATGACCTCTGTAGATGTAATATGCTAAATCAATAAAGACCCTAATCCAGTAGGACTATTCTTAAAATGAGACAGAGAATTCCAAATCTTTTAGTACTAACACTACAGAAAAGAACCAGATTGGTAAATACTATCCCGAAGAGTCTGTAGTAAGCATATATTGCTGTAGCACAGAGATACCCATATTGTTTAGTCAGTTCCTGTATTTTGGCCAAATAGACTGAGTCATTTTTGCAGATGGCTTGAGCTGCTTCCCCCTCCTCCCAAAAATGCCTGCAGGATAAAACACTTGGGGGGGGGGGGAGAAACACAATTATTTTTCTGCAACCTTGGTGTGAGGTCACTGCTATCTCAAAATATAGATAGCATACTGACTCTACAGCTTACTACTTCATATTCAGAACTGGAAGAATTTCAAATGACATTTCTTAATAAGGTTACTAGCAGAAATGAAGTGTTCTTTGTAAACAAACATCTGTCATGAAAGTTTCTCTTCATTTCTTGTGTGTGCAGCTAGTAAAGTTAATCATTCCTACTGAATCTACCTTCCCAAGATACACTGTTTCATGAAGTATCACCATACTTTTTAAAGCGCCATCATAGACCATGCAACAAGTCAATATTAGTTTCCCATTAACAGAAATCAAGTTTCTGTTGAAAACAGCGTCCCTGAAAAAGAAAAACAAGAGGCTGTACTGAAAAGTTAGTGGCAAAGACTGGACCTCCAGATACAAGCAGCTTAAACTTGGACAGCGTCTAAATAATTGAACAAAAACTTCGCCCATCAAAAGTAAATTGTAAGAACTCTTAAAAAGACTGCTGGGTTTCTACTACCACATCACAACATTCTGGGAAGAGGCAAGGGGACACCCCTCCACACCGTGCAAATCATTATTTTTCACCACACACAACGTTGTTGGTTCCAGAAATCTTATCTCTACTCTCACTGGGACTTTATTTCGGGGATGGGGAGGGAAGGGGCAGAATCCTTCAATAGGACCACCCCTTCCCCTTTTCATCATCATGTCAACACACTTCCGTGAGAAAAAGAAAAAAGGGGAAAAACAAAAGAGTGTTCTTCATCGTTGCCTCGTCCACTCAATCCAAGCCCTCAAATAAAAATTCCTTCAGCGTGGAGCGTTTCCGAGCGCAGGGAGAGCACAGGACGGGCATTGTATTTTAGACACAAACGTCCGCGAAACAGTTAAAAGTCTCTCCGGCCCTCCAGTCAGAAGTAGTCAAAAACTCTCCATATTGAGAAACTGGACTGGTGTACAGTACATCTTCCTCTCCCCGCCCAGCGCTTCTTCCAAAGCAAAAGTGGGAGCAGGCTCCGGTCCTTCCCACCCAAGTCCCGAGCCATTCTCTCCTCTTTGCCCCAACCACGGGAAAACGCGGGAGGTGTGGATCCTTCTCAGTATAATGTAGCTTTCAAATACAGCTCTGCCCGCATCCTCGCTTGCCCTCAACCTCAGATCTTTTTTTTCCCCCTGCACCCTTCCCTAATCACACACACACACACACACACACACACACACACACACACACACACACCGCCGCCATCAGCTGAACTCACCAACAAACTTTCCACATTGACCGGAGATCTGGGGTCCCGGATCATGGACTCCAACTTCCTCTGCCGGCTCGCCAAATGCCCTTCCCCGGATACCGGCGGCGGGGAGGCAGACATTTTCGTTGCCTGTCGCGGTTGCTGGTGGTTCATTTTCACGTCCGCGGCGGGTGTCTCACCGCCTTTTTGTCCCTCTGGGTTGTCGGGCGCCAAAGCAGAGCCGGAGACCGTCGCTTGATTGGAAACGGAGGAGGAGGAGGCGGTAGGAACGGGCGGAGACTCTCTGCCGTCTCCAGCCCCGCCGATTGCTCTCCGCTTCGGGGCCTGCCGAGTTTGGGGTGAAGAAGGAAGCAAAGGATCCGCCGGGCGGAGAAAAACGGGGCTCTGTCCCGACCTCACCCAGCCAGGCCTCTCTCCGGAGGAGCAGCCAGAGATGGGCAAGCGGACGACCTCCTCCACCACCTCCTCGCCTCCCGATTGGGGCGGGCACTGATGCCGCTGCTCCACCCGCCCGCTTCCCAGGCATGAACAACCCAGAAAGGGAGAAGGTGGGCGCCTGGAAGGAGAAGGGGAAAGGGAAGCCCCGCCGCGGCCTTCCTGTTTTCTCCTCGGGCTCTTCTTCTGCAGCGACGAGGCAGGCGGGAAAGGAAGGCAAGTTACGACCGGCCCCCCCACGCTGCCTCGGCCATTTTGCACCACCAGGTCGGTTATTCGCTACCCGCCGGGGTGAAGACAAGGGAGGGAAAGTAGCAGCGGCGGCGGCGGCGCCCGACTTCCTCCCTCCTCCTCCTCTTCCTCTGTGGCTGGAGGGATGGGAGGGAGGGCGGCTGGGCCCGCCTCGCTGGGTCTCTCTCTCTGTGTGTGTATATGTGTGTGTATATCTCCCTCTCTCTGGAGGCGTTTCTCTCAAGGGAGCGGGCTGCCCCGCGCTGACCTCTGCCAGTTGCCGCTTCGTCGGCCGAACGAGGGATTGAAGCTGCTGTTGCCTCCTCCTCCTCCTCCTTCTCCCCCACCGCCTGTCTTTGCAATTACAAGCTTATTTGGCGGCGGTTGCTGCTACACGATTACTACGGTACTACAGCGATGGCTTCCTCCTCGTTACCCACAAGCCTTCGCTGGGAGAAGGATTTCCCCCCCACCTAGAGGCGGGCGAGCAACAGCGGGAAAGAGAGAGGGGACAAGTCCGGGGGAAACTGTCTCCTCAGGGCTCGCTATATAAGCCCCCCTGAGCTCAGGCGGGGAAAGGCTGGCAAGTTGGGGGCGGCCGGGGGGCGATTCGCCTTACTCCCCCCCCCCCGGTCTTCGTGCCTTCCCCCACTCAGACTTGTTGACTGAGCTCCAGGAATGGCACGCGCGACGATAGGCGCGGACGTCAATGGGTGCGTGCCTTCCTCGAGATATAAGCCGCCCTCAGGCCACCCAAAATAAGCGGGTGACTCCCTGCGTGCCCGCCCGCTCTCGCTCTCTCTCTCAGCCACCCCTCCGCCTCGGATCGGCTGATAGCAAAAGCGGGGGAGGGAAAACAACGCGATTAGACTTCCAAGAGGCGGGCCGGCCGGGGATGCTTTGCGGGATGGCACGCTGACCATATAAAGCAGTGGTCCCCAACCTTGGCAACTTTGAGCCTGGCGGACTTCAACTCCCAGAATTCCCCAGCCAGTTTGCTGGCTGAGGAATTCTGGGAGTTGAAGTCCGCCAGGCTTAAAGTTGCCAAGGTTGGAGAGCCCTAGTATAAAAGCTTTCAACAGCGATTGAAAAAAAAAAAAAGAGGGGGGGGGGCTTAAACCCCCCGGCGGTACCTCTTGAAGGAGCTAGCCAATTTTTGCTTTTGTGTGTGTGTGTCTTTTGTCATGAAAGGGGGGGGGAGCCGGCTTGGGTTCCTCAGGACAACAGCTGAGGTGCATGTGCGGCATCCCCATGAAGCGAAATGCTTCGCTGTCCTTAGCTGATGTGACGCCACCAAATTTCTATCCTGATCGGAAAGCCAATATTGATTACCTTTGTTATTGCAGATAAACGCTTATGAAGAAGCAGCGGAAACCACCTGCCTTGTATATCCAAATCAATAGGACCACAGTATCTCTAGTCTACACAAAAAAAATATTCATTCCCCTTTATGCCTTCTGGCTGGGGTGGAGATTGGTTTGGTGGTGGGTTGTTGTTTTTTTGGTGTCGTTTTTGTGGCACAGCATTCACAGTTCATGCCTTTCGTTTTGACTGCAACCTGGCCTCTGTCCATCATCCCCACGAAGGTAATAATATACTAGGTTTGGAATTCAAAACGTCTTCCTTTCTCCTCATAGCAAAGGGTGGTTGGGAGCATGCACAGAATGTTAAATTGCCCCCTCCTAAAAAAACCAACCCTACTCCCCTAATTAGAATTAATGGCATTCCAAAATTAAAATGGCACTTGGGGTGTTTTGGATTAATGAAAGATTACCTATTAGCTTCACAACAAGAAGCAGGTTCTGATCCAATGAGTGTCCTTTATGCCCCAAAACCTTTTTCAAGCCAGATGATACCAAAGGGAGAGGCTTGGAGAAAGGAAGTCACCTCTGTTTCACCTTAGCTTCTCGGGTATTTTTCAAACCTGGCATGTTCAAGTTGTGTGAAGTTCAACTCCAGAATTCCCCAGGTAGCATATTGGCCAGGAAACTCTCATAGTTGAAATCCATGCAACTTAAAATTGCTAAATGTGAAAAATACTGATATAGACTGAAGAAGCTCTCCAGAATAAAAGCTGTAAATGTCCAGCACAAAAGGATCTCCTGCCCTTCCTGACAGTTTGTGAAGAAACTACAATGTGGCAGCAGCTAGAAGCTAGTTTTGGTTTTAAGTGATTCCAGAAGTTTTGTTTAAAAAAACAGGACCTGGATACCAAAAGAATGGAAGATGGAACTATGGAACTATAGCGTGATGCTTCAGATAACACCTTTTGGGAATTTTGCAGCAAACTGACTAATGTAATAATCTGTAACACTGCTTTCCATACATGTAAACGGATACGTTATACTGAAATCTTTTAATGCAGTGCATTTAATGTTAAGTAAGGTCTAGTTAAATTTTCAAAGATAATATTATATGCAGGTATGGCCCAAAAGAGCTCACATGGAAATGGTGCATTGAAATTGTCATCATCCTATCTTTTACACCTGCTTTCAAATCTTACCTATTTCATCTCATGTAAGAACATTAAAAGTTCCTGAAAATTAAAACAGCACTGCAGTAAAGATTCCTCATTAAGTATTAATAGCATTGCCCCTCAAGTACCAGCTATGTCATCTTTCCTTTTATATGAAAAAGAAAAAAGACATGTGAATGTCAGAAGCCAAGAGAAATCTAAATTAAGTTTTAATTCTTCAGAAACCTGTATTTATTGAAATTAATGTGACAGAAAACATGAAGGCATTGAATGTGGAACAGTCAAATGAGAGAGATGATCTCATTGCTAGTTTTATTGTACAAAATTTTTGGAGGAGAAAAAAAATCCTGATTTCAAATTACCACTAAATGAGACCAGCGTTAAGCAAGAACTACATGTACTAATTTCCCAGACAGCCTTTTAAAATGGTGGTTTTAAATGGATAAGCGGGCCTAAATATTAAAATTATTGTCTAAAGTATAGAATTGATTTCACTATAAACCAGGCCTGTCAAACTGGCTGCCCACTGGCAGGATGCGTCACATGCAGGCCATGCCCACCTTGGCAAAACAAAAATCACAATACATCATGTGATATGATTGAGTTTGACATCCATGCACTATAAGCTATCAAGCTGGTAAAAGAAAGTGCAGTAGGAAAATAGTTTCACTCTTATATTTACTTAGGCCAATTAATCTCATACTTCTCTATTATTATAGACTGGGGCCAACTTGAACGAAGACCTTGCTTTAGTCAGGACAGAAATTGCATGGAAAGTATCCAAACAATAGGTCAAACCAAGCAAATCTCATGAGACCTACTGGCACATGGTCAAAACAATCAGCATAATAAATAAATAGCAGGCCTTATGTCATGCTTGGCCCTCTTCTAAGGGGATATCTCCAATCTTGAAGATATTGGAGTCACTTATTGAATGGTGCCATTCTATCAAGCTACCAGCTTTCCTTCTCAAACTTCCAGTTTTATATCAATATATCATCCAGTTGCCCTTCATTTTCCTATTGAGCTAGCCAGCACTTCCAAGCACATACCACTCCAAAAGCACCCCAAAATGACAATCGCATATCACTACACCGCTGCTCTCATTCTTCTTTTGTCAGTTTGATTTCTTCAGGGAGCGAGAGTTGGGCTGGAAGAACCATCAAGAGGAAGGATGATAGCAAGATGCCACAGCGTGCTGACTACAGGAGTGGGGAAATGCCAAAAGTTAGAAGGCAGAACAAGACAAGGAGTTTCCATCCATGAATTTTGCAGTTCCAAAGCTGGTCCCCACTGCATTTCTTTTGGAGAAGGAGACGAGCTTCCAAGCCTTGTAGCACTGCATCTGACACAGTGGTTGCATGTGAAAAGACGTTATAGCATGCTAGAGGACTGGTGTGTTTTGGAGGTAATCCATTATTGGATTCTGACTGCAAACTCAACTGTGGCTGTAAGGTGACATGAATCGCTTTACCCAAAGCTATTGTGGCATCTCAGAGGAGATACCTCCTTGCCATGGATATGTATGTTTTATAGTGACTTACAGCAATATTACCTCATCTTAGTGAGATGAAAATTCATTTTACTAGGTCCTGCTTATGTCTGGACATCTGAGACGAAAAAAAGAATGGTTGATTCCGTAACTTACATGCCACTGCAATTAAATTTCTCATAACAATTTAAAAAAAACCTTATATGGCACTGCATTTTAGGCAGTGCAGGGAGATGGTAAGCCCAGAAATGTTCTACAAACTCCACTCTCTATCTCCATGCTAATGTTGGCCGGATCTAAAATCTCATATATTTATAGCTTGTTATCAATGTGCATATTTTCCCCATCTTAAAGGGAGTTCAGAGCCTTTATAACTGTCAAAGACTGCAATTCTTAAGCAGGGTTTTTTTTTAAAAAGCGGCAAATCTTGCAGTGTTCTCTGATCCATTTCCTTTCCTTCAAAATTTCAAGGCTTTTTAAACAGGAAGGTCAAATGTGGTGCAGATGAAGGATTGCTCTTCTATCCCCACTCTTGCTCCAGATTCTTACACAAAGAAGGTGATTACTTACTGTTCTCTTTTCTTTTAATTTCTGGAGACAAATCTGCTAAAAGAAGACATTTTGAATACCTAAGGGAAACCAATTAGAAGAGGAGAGTACACTAACTATTATAAATGGCAGTCTAGGTACAAGCCATACTGTCTCAAAACTCATTTTAGGCTTTCAAAATAATTTCTGAAGAACATTTACTTTCCAGATTTATGGGGCATAATTTGAAATACCAAACTGCCTTTGTCTCTTCCTGACATTTCCTAGTGTTGAATAGCTCTTTATAAAGCTTTCTAACAACTCTAAAGTTTACTCCCCAAAAGAGCAATTGGATATAACTTATAATGATAGTGTAAAACAGAGTTGTATGCATTACCTCATAGGTTAATTTTCTAACAAAACAGAATATGAAACCTACAATATTCACAATAATATAGCGATCTTTTTTCAAAACTGAAAAAAATAATCCTAAAACTGATGATTTGGAAAAGAAAAATTACCAGAGAGACAAACATTTGCCAAGTTGTTAGGCAGTTGTCAATTCCAATAACAGAAAGATAAAAGTAAGTTCATCTACCTTCCTAAACTATTGAGCAAGCATGATGTCACACAATATTTACATAGAGAAAAGTCAATTTGTGATGGAGTGCTTGAAGTCCCGGGACACTATAAACTTTGTAATCAAAGTATCTGCTTTGTGAGAGCAGCAAACATGGGAGTGTGGTACAGTGTAACCAAGGGACCAGATAAACAACATAGCCAGCTTTTGTTCCTTTAAAAAAAATGATCTGCAGAAATCTACCCATTTGTTCTTAGTATGAATTAAACTCATTCTTGAACTTAGATCAAATTTATTCAAGACAAGACCTGTCCCAAGACAAGACCCCCTTTTCTCCCAAAAGACCACAGTCTCAGACATCAGCTCTGCTCCCTGTAGATTTGTATGCATATGTATTGATGAGCATAATACGAAAACATGAACACAGGTCAAACTTACTCTCTAGTACTCTTCATGAGCCAAAATCATCAATTTATCATGTGCCA